AGCAGCTTGTATAGGTCCTGAGATGAAAGTGCGTGACAGACGCACACACAGACACACAGACAGACAGACGCACAGACACACGGACACACAGACAACCTCTCGTCAATATGCGTTTTTCGCATTGCATTGAGACACACAGACACACACGGACACACAGACAACCTCTCGTCAATATGCGTTTTTCGCATTGCATTGCTGCAAAAAACGAAAAAGGAATAATGGAAACTTTTTGAAAAAATGCAGATTTCCAGTTCACTAAAAAATGAAAATCTTGCTCGAGCTACCGTTCGTCAAAAAACCCAAGTATGCAGACGAACTGAACGTTCATTTACGTATTTGGATAAGGGCGTTCGTTCGCTGCAAAACGCACTCCTTTGTAGTTTTTCGATAAGGTTAAGTATTTATCATGCCTACCTTTAGGGAATTTCACCTCCAAGCAGAATTAAGACCACACCTGGAAGTAGAATATCGCAGCGTAGTTTCAGCCTCGCACCTTATCCAGCAAGCGAAATATCCACTCCGCTACAAATATTTTTGAAATGCCCTAAGTCACGGCGCAGCTATAATTCGGTACTCATTTTAAGTATACGACTTCCCACGTGGGCGACAAACATGTTAACAGGACTTCACCCACCGTTTTTGGGCAAGTTTTTCGAGTTAGCACCTTACCAAGTTGCAAACTTTGACATAATCGTACGCGCTGCGGAAGCGTCCGCAATAGCTGAATTTGAAATCTTTGGCTCGCGCATGCACAGAGAATATCTCTGCAAAGTTTCAGTTTCGGGCAGTTACAAAAACTCGGCTCCTCTCATGCATAAGTCGATAAAAAGGGCTGCCCCACGGCGCATGGCGGCAGTTTGAATTTGGAAGTTGGAAGTGGGTGAGATATGTGGCGGGTCTCGATCGAAGCAGGGAAGGAGGCTAGGATAGGTGGATATAAAGACTAAATGGCGTAGATCTTTGCCGATTGACTAAGTAACGTGCACTTGGAGGAGAGAGGAGAACGGTGACGAACAGAAAGGATGAGGAAGTGTGCTCCCGGACTTTCCTTTTTATGAAACTGATGCTTAGGTAAAGCTGTTCCACAAAAACTCGTTATTAGGCTTCTTTATTTATGAAAATGATGCTTAGATAAAGCTGTTCCATACGTCATCAGACTTTCCTATTTATGAAATTGATGCTTAGGTAAAGCTGTTCCACAAAAACCCGCCATTAGGCTTTGTTAAAGCTGAGAACTAATAAGTCCCGTGAAATGAGCAAGAGCAAAGTAGACTGGATGCGCGGGAATGAAATTAGCCTTCACTTCTGTGAGATTTCGAAGAAAAAAAAATAGAGGTATAACTGCTACGTACAGTTGCAGGCTGCGGGAAGCAACACTGTTGAATTGTCTGCAATTCTTTGTAAATCCAATCGAAACTTATTAGCCCTCAGTTTCACCTAAGCATAATCCTCATAAATGCGGGGACAGCTTACTGAAGACGGGTTTTTGTAAAACAAATCCTACTTCCATAAGCTCACTTTTTGTTTGCTTTTGCTTTTGGTTACAGAATAGAATTCTTTGATTTTGCTTCTTTCCTTTTATTCAAAAAATCAGGTTTGTTTTAGTTTACTTTCCGTGTTGGTTTATTATGCGTTTTTGCCGTGCAGCGCTGGAGCGCTGCAACAGGCAGCAAAAACGCATATTGAATCGGCCCTGTCAGCGTGTGTATGTGTGTGTGTGTGTGTGTGTGTGTGTGTGTGTGTTCGTCTGTCCGGGTATTTCAACTCG